TTCCACGTAGCGGGAACAGCATGTGTGAACGGCCCTGAAGCTTAAGCGTGTGTGTGACTCAGGAGCTGCTGAAGGCTCTGAAGGTCATCGCACTACGATGGAGACCCTTTGAGGATTTTTAAAAATATATATATTTTATTGATTTTTTACAGAGAGGAAAGGAGAGGAATAGAGAGTTAGAAACATTGATGAAAGAGAATCGTCCATCAGCTGCCTCTTGCACACCTCCTACTGGGGATGTGCCCGCAACCCAGGCACATGCCCTTGACTGGAATCGAACCTGGGACCTTTCAATCCGCAGGCCAACGCTCTATCCACTGAGCCAAACCGATTTCGGCGAGGATTTTTTAAATATATATACTGTATATATTTTAAGTTGAGGTTTAATTTACTCATTTTAAGCAGATGGCTTGATGACTTTTAATCTAAACATACAGTTATGCAGCCATTACCGCAATCCAGTTTTAGAAACATCTCTTCCCCCCAGGAAGTTCTCTCACGTGTGTTTTCAGTCAGTTCCTGCTCCCACCACCAGGCAGCCGCTGATCTGCTTTCTGTCTATACTTTTGAAATTTTATATGAATAGAATCATACAATATGTATTCTTTTCTCTCTGATGTCTTTCACTTAGTTTAATGTAGGTAGAGGCTCATCCATATTTTTGTATGTGTATTTTCTTCTTATTACTGAGTGCTGTACTATTGTACAGATATAGGACTGTTAGAATTTATATATACATACAGAGGCCAGTGCACAAAATTTGTGCATGGTGGGAGGTGGTGGGGGGAATCCCTCAGCCCGGTCTACACCCTCTCCAATCCGGGACCCCTCAGGGAATGTCCAGCTACTTCTCACAATCCGGGACCTCTGGCTCTTAACCGCTCACCTGCCTGCCTGATCACCCCTTTCTGCTCCCCTGCTGCCCTGATCGTTCCTAACCGAACCGCCTCTGTCTTCCCTGCATCCAGGACCCATGATTCCTTTCTCTGGCTGGTTGCAGGCACCTGGGACCTGGGAGGGACCCGGGCTTCCCTCCCTCTGGCCAGCTGCAGGCACCCGGGACCCGGGCCAGCTTCGCATGGGCCAGCCACAGCCGCTGGGGACCGTGGGCAGGCAGTTTTGCCTGGGCCGCAGCCCAGGTGCCCGGGACCACAGGGCGGGCGGCTTGTCCCTCTCCCGGGCTGCAGGCACTGCTGCTGGCACTCAGACCACAGGGCGGGCGGCTTGTCCCTCTCCCGGGCTGCAGGCACTGCTGCTGGCACTCAGACCACAGGGTGGGCAGCTTGTCCCTCCTGGACCGCAGTGTGGCTGGCCCCCATTTCTCCCCCCAATGTTGAGTGTCTGAGCTAGTCAGGCATGAGGGTGTGATGACCATTTGCATATTAGCTCTTTATTATATAGGATATATATAATGATTTCGGAGAGGAAGTGAGAGGGAGAGAGAGCAAGAAACATCAATGAGAGGATCACTGATTGGCCACTTCCTGCATGCCCCACATTGGGTGGGGATCGAGCTTGCAACCTGGGCATATGCCCTGACCAGGAACCAAACCGAAACCTCTCAGGACCTCCCAGTTCTCAGGTTGCTGCTCAACCACAGAGCCACGCCATGTTTGTGCATTCACCAGTGGATGGACCTTTGGGTTTTTACCATTCCTTGGTTATTATGAATAAAGTAGCTATGAGCACTTAAAAATAAATCTTTAGCCGAAACTGGTTTGGCTGAGTGGATAGAGCATTGGCCTGTGGACTGAAAGGTCCCAGGTTCAATTCCGGTCAAGGGCATGTACCTTGGTTGTGGGTGCATCCCCAGTGGGGGATGTGCAAGAGGCAGCTGATCGATGTTTCTCTCTCATCAATATTTCTAGCTCTCTATCCCTCTCTTCCTCTCTGTAAAAACTTAATAAAATATATATTTTTAAAAATCTTTGTATGGATATATGTCTTTAATTCTCTTGGGTGTTTGGGTAGTATGGAAGGTATGTAATCAACTTTTTAAAAAATATATATTTTATTGATATTTTACATAGAGCAAGGGAAAGGGACAGAGAGCTAGAAACATTGATGAGAGAGAAACATCGACCAGCCTCCTCCTGCACACCCCCCCACTGGGGATGTGCCCGCAACCAATGTACATGCCCTTGACAGGAATCGAACCCCGGGACCTTTCGGTACACAGGCGACGCTCTATCCACTGAGCCAATCTGGTTTCGGCTGTATTCAACTTTTTAAGAAACTGCCAAACTGTTTTTCCAAAGTGGTTGTACCGTTTTTCATTTCCACCAGCAATGTGTGTGTGCCAGTTTCTGTGCATCCCCACCGGCACTTGGTATTGTCCGTTTCCTTGCTGTTCAGCCTTTCTAATTGGTGTCAAGTGGTATCTCTCTGAGGTTTTGGTCCTTACTGCCTAGTGACTGATGATGTTGGTCATGTCTCCATGTGCTCATTGCTGTTTGCGTATCTTCCTTGGTTAGTGAAATGACGTTCTGTTTTTTGTTCATTTTTTATAAGATTGTCATCTCATCAGTGAGTTGTAAGAGTTCTCCGTATGTTCTGAACACAAGTCTCTGTTAGATGCATGATTTGTAGTGTTTTTTCTCTGAGGGTCCTGGGCAGAGAAGGGGCCATGGGCATGGGGAGGGGTCCTTGCACCAGGCTTCAGTCCCAGCAGCACACTCTTTGCCTCCGGCGTGTGGGCTGCATCAGGGTTTCCTAGGTCAGAGGGTTCCCTGGCTAAGCCACAGGAACAGGAAGCTTGTGTGGCCACCCGCAGAGTGGCCACCCGCTCGCTGTCACCAGAGACCACCCTCACATGCCCTTGTTGGCTCAGCGTGTCCCTGTCAGGCTCGGGGGTGCCAACGCATCCTAACCAGGCGCACAGAGACGTCACAAACTGGGGGGCAGTTCCCCAGGGAACGAGCTTCCTGGAGGGCCAGATTCCGGGGAGCTCTAGCCTGACCATGTGTCTCCAGGCCCCAGAATTCCCGGGGTGTCAGAGTCATGGGTCAGGGGACGGTGGTGTTGGGTTTGAAGGCTCCAGGGCAAATCAGGGTCAGCAAGAATGCCCCGTGCTCCTGCCGGCTCACCGGGGCACGCAGGCGGCAGCACTGTGCGCCCTGGGGGAGCTCATTTTCCTCTGTTCGTATGGCTGGCAGCCCCGTGTGAGGAGCCGGTCCTTCCCTTGGCCGATCGTCCCAGGACCGGGTAGTGGTGTTGCTGGCTCATCTTGGTGGCCCGAGAGCCGATCTGAGGACACTGTGAACTCCTGTCGTGAGCGTTGTAGTTGGCTTCTGTATTAGTCTCTGTGGTTGCAAGCAATGGTGTCCCCAGGTAGGTGTAGGCAAAAAGAAAACGATGCATATGTGTGTATGAGGATGTGTTGGCTGATGTAAGCAAGAGGCTCAAGGGACCGTCTTCAGGCTCAGCTGGATCCAGGCCCTCCACATCCAGCCACTCAGCCCTGCTTTCTCTGTGTTGGCTTCGTTCCTGGCAGCTCTCCCAGGTGGTAGCTGGGATGGCCCTGCAGTTACTGGTGTCCATCCCACACCCAGGCAGCCCTGGGGCGATGAGAGCACCTCTTCCTAAGGGTTCCAGCCAGAGTCCAGGCCCTGATGCTCCTCAGATCACGTGACTCCCCCTCAGCTGACCACTAGTGGCTCTGACCAGGTCTGCATCGTGTCTTCTCCAGGAGTGTGTGCGGGGTCAGCCCACATAAGTCACGTGGATCCAGAGTGGAGATCGGACGTACGGCTGGACAGGTGCAGGGTTTGGCATCCCTGATTGTCAGAGTGGGGCGCCCAGAGGCTTTGATTTCTCTTTCTCAAGGTCCTGAGGGGGGAAAGCTCTCATCAGAACCCTCCGTTCGTCCGTGGTGCTCCGCCTTCCCTCTCCCCACTGGACGGTGTGCTCCGAGGCAGAGGCCCGGGGCTCCGGCAGGACGGGGCCGGGCCCATGGGGGGGCCTCTGTAGACAGGGGTGCAGGAGAGGGTGTGCACATGGGGCATCAGGGGAGGAGGCCTGGGGACGGTGGCCTGTCCTCTGTGCCTTGGAGACGGGAACTTCCCTTCTCAAGGGTCCCCTTTGTCAAATGCTAGCGCCCCAGGCACCGTGTGCGCTACCCCCTTCCCGTTTCAGTCATACAGGCAGGGAGCTGTCACGGTGCAGGGTAGGCACGGGGCACGTGAGCCCATCCTGGTGCGGGATGAGGCCTCTGTGTGTCTGTCCCTGCACCGGTGGAGGGGGCAGGTGCGGGAGGGTGAGCCCGGGAGCTGAGGGAGGCCTGCGCGGCGAGGCAGAGCAGTCAGCTGGGTGATGAGATTAGATTAGGGGTGTCGAACTCAATCAGAGAAGGGGCCAAAATCTAAAATCCAGCCTAAATCGCGGGTCAAATGGTGTACTGAACAGTCATAAACTGTCATTGTGATGGAAACGCAGCGGAGTGCAGCGATGACAGCGCGGTGCGGGCCACATTGCAAGGCCTGGCGGGACGGATTTGGCCCGCGGGCCTTGTGTTTGACACATGTGGATTAGATGCTTGTCAGCCGGCATCAGGAGGGGTGTGAGGTATTGGCTAGTCCTGGAGTCTGGGGGCTGGGGGCGGGGATCTCACTGGGTGGCCATGCGTGTCAGAGTCCACAGCAGCCTGTGCTCTGTGGTGAGACACACTGGGGGCCGTGCAGGCCCTCGGGGCCCTGGCCCGGGCTTTCTGGGGTTCACACAGCATTGCTGTGGGCCCGAAACCAGTTTGCTCCCGATTCTCGCCTCCTGGGCCCAGGAGGTGGGCATCTAAGAGAACGCGGCCAACCGCTGAGTCCAGCAGGCCAGGTCCCTTGTCCTGGCAGCACCACTGCCACACTGGGCCCACCCTTGCCGCCGCGGCCCCGTGCCTCGGTTCCCCGTGCGGAAGGAGAGGGGTGAGGGCGGTCTGTGCCTCACGGCGGCCGCGGTGTTGGAGGCCTGTGGGACGCTGTGATGGGATCCATCTCATTCTCTCCCCGCAGGAGCGTGACGATGGCGGGGAGGACGTGACCTGCGCGGGCCCTGTCCCGCCCGCCGAGTGGCACCACCATGCAGAAGCCCAGCGGCCTGAAGCCCCCCGGCCGAGGGGGAAAGCACTCGAGCCCCATGGGCCGGACGTCCGCTGGGTCAGCCGCCGCCTCCGCCACGGCGGCAGCCACCGGCTCCAAGGAAGGTGCGCAGGGCCCAGGGTAAGGGGCTGGGGGGGGGGGGGGGCGTGGATCGCCCTGGGGAGCCGCTCTGGGACCGACCCCGAGGCCAGCAGCACGTGGACATTCCTCTTTCTGTCTGACCGTGCGTGGTCCCTTCAACAACTACCGAGCGACAAGCTCCGATGCACGCCGACGTGCGCCGAGCCTGCTCCTGCTGCCCGGCCCGGGAGGCGGGGGCCACTGCGGGCGGGAGAATGGAGCTCCGGGGAGGCCCGGCGTCTTGCCCAGGGTCACTCAGACTCCGCCGCCTCGCTGCCCCCATTCCTTCCCCTTCTGGGACCTGAGATGGTCCCCGTGGAGCCAGCCCCGTTTTCCCATCAGCCTTCTCGTCTGCGCGCCCCCCCCCCCCCCCCCCCCCCCCACACACACACACACCCCCGTACCGTGCCCTTCCACCTTTCCTTGTCGGACCCTGGTCTTTCTGTCGGTGGGCAGAGGGCGCCCTGGAGGAAGCCCGAAAGAGCGTGGCCCTGACCGTGGGGGAATGTGCTGGCGAAGAGGAGGACTGGCAGGCCGTGGAGCAGAGCGTGGGCAAAGGCACCGAGTGGGCTGGGCTTGGTCGTGTTGTGGAGGCGGGGAGGGGGGAGGGAGATGGGATGGCAGTGGCAGTGGGTGGCCCACTCTCCGGATGGCAGGGCACCAGCCAGCCTGACCCTGACCCTCCTCTCTCCTGGAGAGAGCGCCCTGGCACCTCCGGGTCCTTTCCTCACTGCTCCCTCCTGGTCAAGAGGGGCCTGAACGTGGCTCTGACCCAGGTCTGATGTGCTCTGCCCCTGAGTTACTGAACCTCTCTGAGCCGCTAATGGGGCCACAGCCTCTCCGATGAGATCGCGCCAGTGAAGGAATGTGAAGTGCCGGCAGGTACAGAACTCATTAAAGAGTAATTTCTTTTCCCTCCACCCATCTGTAATCTCATCCCAGAAAAACCGGACCGCGATAAAGGAAGAAACCGGGACGTAATCACGGCCGCGGCTGTGCCGGTTCCCTCCCAGTCTTCTCTTTGTTGTTTAGGAGTTACGTCACGGGGCTGCCCACATCTGCATCCTCCTCTCCCACCTCCGATGGTGCCCGCAGTGTCTTTGCGTCCTTTAGAGCAGCTGCGTAGCGGTCCCTCCAGGGAGGGGGATGGAGCACATGGTGTGGCGTGCTGGCTGCCTCCTGTCACACTGCACAGTCCTCTGGGAGCCCCCAAGGGTGGGGCCCCCCTACCCTGCAGGGCTGTTCCAGAGAGAGGAGGTGCCACTCCATGAACGTCTGATGGATGACATAGCCATGCCCTGTGCTCCATGTGGGCGTGAAAGGCTGCAGCTGGGCTTGGTGGTGCCCTCCCTCCTCTGGCACCAGCTGCCTTTGCAGACTCCCAGGCTAGGGGAGAGCTGGCAGAGGCTGCTGTGAGAGGGGAAGGGAGACTTGTGCCACCCAGAGCTGCTTTTGTCCCTGCTCGTAACAAGAGTCTCTGGAGAGGAGGGGCGGGTGGGAGCAGCAGGGCAGGGCTGTGCACCCCACCTCGTGGGCCCCTCAGACTGCCTTCCCCACCCCCTAGAACTGGCCATCTGCTCTCTGAGGTGCTGCCCCCATCAGAGGCTGGGACCCCGTGTGAGGGCAGGGGCCCCTGAAAGGTGAGCCTGGAGGAGTCCAGCCCTGCTGGGGATGGGGACAGTGAAAAGCTGGGATCTGTTTTGGGAATCGGCCGTGGCTGCCTCCCAAAGCATGAGCTCAGCTTCCTGGCAGAGGGTCTAGCCAAAGGCGGGGCCTGGCCTGATGCCCTGCCCCTCTCCCGGGAGATGGAGGTCCCAGGAGCTGTGACAGGGAGCAGCAGAGCCAGGGGGCCGTGGCAGGGGGTCTCTCACATGAGGAGGTGGCCCAGAGGTGGTATCTGGGACATACCTGTGGGCAACGGCCTGGGTGAGGAGCAAGGTCCAGGGCATCCCAGCCGGACAGGACAGAGCACTTGGAGGCCGCTCTGGTCAGGAGGTCAGGGAGGGTCTGGCTCAGGAGGAGACGTGGGTGCAGAGAGCTGAGTGACAGGAGCCAGCCCAGCTGAGGTTAGAGGAAGAACATCAAGGCAGAGGGAACAGGCCCTGAGGTTTGAGATGTCTGAGAACCAGAGAGCAGCTTGAGTGGGCAAGGGGGGTGATCACTAAGGTCCAGGGCATGAGTTAGGGCCCAGATGGAAGTTGGGGAGCTGTGCCTGGGGCCACGGGTTGGGGGCGGGGGGAGTGGTTGGAATATATCCTGGGCCTGAAGGAGAAAGGGGTTCAGGCCTCCAGGCTGGCGGCCCAAGACTGCTGCTGGCACACAGCCCTCCCTCGGGGTCAGGAGCAGCCTGCAGTGGTCGGCAGGGTCCGACACTGCCCTGCAGTTGTAGAAGAGAAGGGCCCTTAGCCCTTAGCCCTTCCACGAGGTTCCCTTCTGAGCCCAGGTCAGGGCGGGTCAGGCCAGGTGCCCATTTACCCCAATAAGAAGGGCTGATGGCCGAAACCGGTTTGGCTCAGTGGATAGAGCATAGGCCTGCAGACTGAAGGGTCCCAGGTTCAATTCCCGTCAAGGGCATGTACCTTGGTTGCCGGCACATCCCCAGGGGGGTGTGCAGGAGGCAGCTGATCGATGATTCTCTCTCACTGATGTTTCTAACTCTCTATCCCTCTCTCTTCCTCTCTGTAAAAAGTCAATAAAATATATTTTTAAAAAAAGAAAGAAAGAAAAAAAAGAAGGCTGACGGCAGTGGCCTGGGGAGGACTCGGCCGCTGAGTGAAGGGACAGGCCGCAGCCACGGCCGCGCTCCCCTCTGCCCTGGCTCCGATGGGCAGGCGGGTCTGGAAGGACCTTTCCCGTCCCTCACTGAGTGGTCCTCTCCAGGAGGGACAAAATTTGACACTTGCTATATCACAAGCAGGCTCTGCATCAGTCATCTTACCACCTTTCTCATGAGCATCCCAGTGAGGTCACTGCTCTTCTCCCCGTTTTAAAGATGAGAAAACTGAGGCTTGGAGCTCTCAGCTACGTTGCCCAGAGTTACAAGGCCAGAGGGCGATGGGGCTGGAGTGGAGACTCAGGCTAGGCTGGGTCTAGAGCTGGCTCAAGCCACTGGCATCTGAGGGGGTGGCTGGTGTCCCAAGTTCAGTCCCAGCTCTACACATTCAGCTCAGACCCCAGACAGGTGGGCAGAGTGGGCTGTCCTCACTAAGCTGGCCACACCTGTCCCCTCATGTGCCTGCAGCCTTTCCTCATGCTGGGGCCCAGGACACAGGAGGTCAAGGAGGAATGCGTGGATTTCCCCTCAGACAGGGGGCAGGCTGCTCGGGGCGGGGTTCACCCCTTTATCTTGATCCCCGCAAAGGGCCCACCTGGGGCTGGTCCCAGACCTTCTAGTTCTGGCTGACTGAGTTGGGCCTGGATACCCCTGGGTGTTCCAGACATGGCAGCCAGCCTGCCCTGCCCCAAGAGGGCCCCAGAGCTGGCCTCTAGTCCTAGACACTGACCCACCCCAGCCCAAAGGGTTGTCTTTCACCTTGGTACCCCTGCTCCCTGGGAGGGCAGGAGGCACCCTCCCCGTTGTAAGTGACTTGTCCCAGATGCTGCACCAACCTGGACAGAACCGGGGCTCCCGGGCCTGCAGAGCCAGACCGGCCGGCAGCACTCACTCGCTTCAAGGTCAACCTCCCTGGCTCTCCCTGACCACATCCTAAACTTTTTAATGGCATCAGGATGGGGAAAGCCAAGCCGAGCTTTCCGTTCCTGGGCTTTGGGGGGAGGGGCGTCGAAGCCTCCTAATGCTCCTGACGTCGCTGGTATTGATCCCGGGGGTGGGGGCCCAGCCGCCGGCACTGCCTGCCCCGGTGTGGCCGCAGCAGGCTCCTCCATGGGCAGCAGGCTCTGCTCTTTCCGGGGTAAGCCACCCCCTTCCTTCCTCCCCGGGTCCCCGGCCGAGTCTGTGGGAGGTGGCGTTACCCTCCTGATCTCGGGGGAGAGGGGATGGCAGGGGCTTCTGGGTTCCTTGTGGCTCTGGAAGGGTGATGAGCAATCCCTGGGGCGGAGGCCCTCCCCGCAGTGGCTGAGAGCCGTCCCTTCTCCCGGGATGCGTGGTGGAGGCAGTGCAGCAGGGGAGGCAGGGCCGGTGGGAGCCAGACGGCTACCTCGGTCAGGCTGTGCTGGGCCGGGTGGACTCAGCGCTTCCTGAAGGCCATGCTGGCCGGTACCCTCAGCACTGACCTCAGGGCAAACTGGGCTGGGGGCTCATGGTGGCGAAGCCAGGCCCCCTGCAGGAAAGCATGGAGACCTCGTCCCTTCTCTGTGGCCTGTGCCTTGAGCACCTGCTGGTGAGGAGCGGGAGCTGAGAGCAGAAAGCCGCTGCAGGGGTTGTGGGCGTTTATGTGTGTTGCTTTGGGGCCACCGGGGAGGGGAGTTCAGCGTCACGGCCGGCCTGCATTTCCGTCTGGGCCTGGGCCCCCGAGGATGGGGAGAGGAGCTGGTTCGGGCTCCACCTCCCGGGGCTGGGGTTCTGGGTGGGGTGCAGGTGCGTATCCTGGAAGGCAGACTGTGCAAAACCAAGGAAGATTGGAGCCCTGGGGGGTGGCTGCCGGTGAGGGCTGTTGGAGCTGGTCTGATGGGCAGGCAGGGTTTCCTTAGTGACACAGAGGAAAATGCTGTACTGTAAGGCCAGGCGGCCCTGCTCTGCCTGGGACAGCCCTCGTTTACACCTGTGGTGTTGGCACGATGCTGGATTAACAACGCCTCCTTTCTCTCCCAGGTGCCTGGTTCTGGCTGATGAATCATGTGGTTTCCTTATGTATAGCTCTTCCTAAGTGGTCACAGTGCACTTTAAAGGCTCGGAAAAGTCCTGCAGCATCGTAACCCTAACTTTGTGTAAGCCACTGGTTCTCCAGCTTGCTTGCAACTTGAGATTAATTTTTACTTTTCCTTATACCCATAACTCCCCGTGGAACTGTTTCCTGTGGGCGTT